TTGGCTTGTACTTCAGGCTCATGGCTAGTACTTTAACTCTTGGCTAGTACTTTGGCTCTTGGCTAGTACCTTAGCTTGGCTACTACCTCGGCTCTTGGCTAGTACTCTGGCTCTTGGCTAGTACTTTTGCTCAGCTAGTATTTTTGCTTGGCTAGTACTTTGGCTCTTGGCTAGTACTCCACCTCAAGTAGTACTTCAGCTTTTGGTTAGTACTCCTGCTGGGCTAGTACTACTCCTGCTCGACTAGTACTCCAGATCAAGCTTTTGGCTTGCACTCCATCTCGAGTAGTACTCTGGTTCTTGGCTAAGACTTCGGTTCTTTGATAGTATTTCAACTCTGTTAAAAATTCGGCTCTTGACTAGTACTCTTGCTAGGCTAGTGCCCCTGCTCAGCTAGCATTCCAGCTCTGGGGTAGTATTCTGGCTTGGTTAGTACTGCGGCTCTTGGCTACTATTTCAGCTCTCGGCTAGTACTTCAGCTTTGCTAGTAATCTTGACCAGCTAGTATTCCAGCTCTTATTATTATTATTATATTACAGATTAAGTACAGCGCACACATAAAAATAATGTTTTGCATTTTATAAGGCTACTTAAAATAATCTTAGCGAAAAAATATGGAGATTAAGTTCCACTGTGTGGCCATATTGTGTTAAGCCCTCCACTACTTCACAGTACCCCAATATCGGTGGGTCCTACACTAATTCCAACGTGGAGACAGATTAAATAGTGCTGGTGCTAAATAAACTAAAGTGTATTTTAATAATCTGTTGAAAGAGCATTGTGAATATATAATGCAGGGACCCCCTCAGGGACCCCCTCCCGCCCGGCTCTGGAAAGGGGAAAAGGGGTAAAACGTACCTTTTTCCAGCGCTGGGCGGGGAGCTCTCCTCCTTCTCTCCTCCTCCGTTCCGCCCCGTCGGCTGAATGCGTATGCGCGGCAAGAGCTACGCGTGCATTCAGCCGGTCGCATAGGAAAGCATTTACAATGCTTTCCTATGGGATGCTGGAGTGTTTCTCACGTGAAATCACAGTAGAGAGAAAAGCGTTTCTAGTGGCTGCCACGACAGCTACTAGGTGAAGGTTTTAACTTATTATTAAACATAGCAGTTTCTCTGAAATCTGCTATGTTTATTAAAAAATGGGTTAACCCTAGCTGGACCAGGCACCCAGACCACTTCATTAAGCTGAAGTGGTCTGGGTGCCTAGAGTGGTCCTTTAATGTGATAAACACAATTCAATTCAGTGTCTAAACTAAATAAAGTGATAGTGCTCTGATGTATATAATCACAATGCTTATAATATATCTGCTCTATGAAAATTATAATAAAAGTGACATTACTATCCAAAAATCTCCTCAAATAAATACCTTCTTGTAGTCACCTCCGAAGGGGCCTCTGAAGTATTCCTGCTCGGCTAGTATTCCTGCTCGGCTAGTACTTTGCGCACTCGGCTAGTACTCTGCGCTCTCGGCTAGTATTCCTGCTCGGCTAGTACTTTGCATGTCGGCTAGTATTCCTGCTCGGCTAGTACTCTGCACTCTCAGCTAGTATTCCTGCTCGGCTAGTTCTTTGCGCTCTCGGCTAGTATTCCTGCTCGGCTAGTACTTTGCGCTCTCGGCTAGTATTCCTGCTCGGCTAGTACTTTGTGCTCTTGGCTAGATTTCCTGCTCTGCTAGTACGTTGCGCTCTCGGGCTAGTATTCCTGCTCGGCTAATACTCTGCGCTCTCGGTTAGTATTCCTGCTCGGCTAGTACTTTGCACTCTCGGCTAGTATTCCTGCTCGGCTAGTACTCTGCGCTCTCGGCTAGTATTCCTGCTCGGCTAGTACTCTGCGCTCTCGGCTAGTATTCCTGCTTGGCTAGTACTCTGCGCTCTCGGCTAGTATTCCTGCTCGGCTAGTACTTTGCGCTCTCGGCTAGTATTCCTGCTCGGCTAGTACTTTGCGCTATTGGCTAGTATTCCTGTTCGGCTAGTACTTTGCGCTCTCGGCTAGTATTCCTGCTCGGCTAGTACTTTGCGCTCTCGGCTAGTATTCCTGCTCGGCTAGTACTCTGCGCTCTCGGCTAGTATTCCTGCTCGGCTAGTACTTTGCGCTCTCGGCTAGTATTCCTGCTCGGCTAGTACTTTGCGCTCTCGGCTAGTATTCCTGCTCGGCTAGTGCTTTGCGCTCTCAGCTAGTATTCCTGCTCGGCTAGAACTCTGCGCTCTCGGCTAGTATTCCTGCTCGGCTAGTATTCCTGCTCGGCTAGTACTCTGCGCTCTCGGCTAGTATTCCTGCTCGGCCAGTACATTGCGCTCTCGGCTAGTATTCCTGCTCGGCCAGTACTCTGCGCTCTCGGCTAGTATTCCTGCTCGGCCAGTACTTTGCGCTCTCGGCTAGTATTCCTGCTCGGCTAGTATTCCTGCTCGGCCAGTACTCTGCGCTCTCGGCTAGTATTCCTGCTCGGCCAGTACTTTGCGCTCTCGGCTAGTATTCCTGCTCGGCTAGTACCTTGCGCTCTCGGCTAGTATTCCTGCTCGGCTAGTACTTTAGCTCGGCTGAAGATGTTCCTGCTCGGCTAATTACCTTGGCTCGGCTAGTATTCCTGCTCGTACAATTACTCTCGGCTCTCGGCTAGTACTTTGCGCTCTCGGCTAGTATTCCTGCTCGGCTAGTACTTTGCGCTCTCGGCTAGTATTCCTGCTCGGCTAGTACTTTGCGCTCTCGGCTAGTATTCCTGCTCGGCTAGTACTTTGCGCTCTCGGCTAGTATTCCTGCTCGGCTAGTACTTTGCGCTCTCGGCTAGTATTCCTGCTCGGCTAGTACTATGCGCTCTCGGCTAGTATTCCTGCTCGGCTAGTACTTTGCGCTCTCGGCTAGTATTCCTGCTCGGCTAGTACTTTGCGCTCTCGGCTAGTATTCCTGCTCGGCTAGTACTTTGCGCTCTCGGCTAGTATTCCTGCTCGGCTAGTACTTTGCGCTCTCGGCTAGTATTCCTGCTCGGCTAGTACTTTGCGCTCTCGGCTAGTATTCCTGCTCGGCTAGTACTTTGCGCTCTCGGCTAGTATTCCTGCTCGGCTAGTACTTTGCGCTCTCGGCTAGTATTCCTGCTCGGCTAGTACTTTGCGCTCTCGGCTAGTATTCCTGCTCGGCTAGTACTTTGCGCTCTCGGCTAGTATTCCTGCTCGGCTAGTACTTTGCGCTCTCGGCTAGTATTCCTGCTCGGCTAGTACTTTGCTCTCTCGGCTAGTATTCCTGCTCGGCTAGTACTTTGCGCTCTCGGCTAGTATTCCTGCTCGGCTAGTACTTTGCGCTCTCGGCTAGTATTCCTGCTCGGCTAGTACTTTGCGCTCTCGGCTAGTATTCCTGCTCGGTTAGTTTGGCCTTCCACACATTTCCTGCTTTAGTCAATAAATAACTAAATATTTCGGGGCAGGAGGGGAATAATACAGCTAGCTCAGCTCCCCCTTTATGGGAAGTTTTCCTCAACACAGATCACTTTCACCTGCTGATGGGCAGTGCATGAAAAGTGATTCCCTGCAGTATGCAGCATTCATGTGCTGCTGGAAGGCAATCAGTTCATACCTGATATAAAGCA